TGCTGAGCAAAAATTTGCCCTCCCAGCTGAATAGACTTTACACAAAATTTGATCCACATGGATAAGATATCAGTGTCAAACCTCTGCGGAGAGAAACTCCAGACTGAAAGTCTTATAAGAAAGGGGGACTGGAATGCCACGTGTTGTGCTGTATCTGCAGTCTTTCTGGAGGACTTTGAAGAATACTTTTATCTTCAAAGGTGGAAGCAACTAGACTTAGAGAGGGAAGGGGATAGAGTTTTAAGTAACAAAGAAGAGTCAGGGGCTATTGATGTATTAGGAACCAACAGGGAAAAACCTGTGAAATGCCTCAAAGGAATTAGGGCTTTTTCCTCTGAAGAGGTGACATGGTCTATAGCCCAGCTGAAATGTCTCTACACCGATGCGTGTAGCATGGTAACAAAGAGCAGGAATTGGAAGTAACTGCGCAGCTGGAAAGCTATGATCTAATCACTATCCCTGAAACTTGGTTCAACCAATCACACGACTGGAGCACTGCCATGGATGGCTAAGAACTCTTCAGAAGGGACAGGCAAGGAAGGAGGGGTGGGCGATTTGCCCTCTACAGACTGATTGTACAGAGCTGTCTTTGAAAACCAGTGATGACCAGGTCGAGAGCTTGTGGATGAAACTTGGGCCAAGTTGGCCAAGCCAACAAAGGAAACCTCATGGTTGGTGTTTACCGCCCACCCGATCGAGGGGAGCCTGTTGATGAAGTGTTCTTACTGCAGAAGCATCGCGCTCGCAGGCTCTGATCCAGCTGGGGGACTTCAGTCATGCTGACATCTGCCAGAAAAGCAGCACAGCAAGCTGTAAGCAGTCCAGGAGACTCTTAGAGAGCATCAAGGATAATTTCTTAATCCAGGTGACAGACAGCCCAACCAGAGGAGAGGCATTACTGGACCTGTTGCCTACCAACAGAGATGAACTAATTACAGAGGTCAAGATCAGTGGCAGCCTGGGCTGCAGTGATCATGCCCTGGTGGAATTCACAATCTCGAGGGATATCGGCCAGGTGAAGAGTAAATTCAAGACCTTGAATTTTAGGAGATTGAACTTTCAGTTGGTTAGGGAATTACAGGATAGCACCCCCTGGGAAATTGCCCTCAGGGATAAAGGAGCAGAACAGAGCTGGCAGCTCTTTAAGGACATTTTTCTTACAGCACAAGAGCTCTCAATTCCCATGTGTAAGCAATCAGGCAAGGAATGCAGGAGACCAGCATTGCTCAGTAAGGACCTCCTGGTCAAATTAAAGCATAACAAAGAAATGCACAGGCAGTGGAACCAGGGACATGTATCCTGGGAACAATATAGGGACACTGCCTGGATATGTAGGAATGGGATCAGAAAAGCTAAGGCATAGCTGGAGCTGAGTTTGGCAAAGGATGCAACGAATAACAAGAATGGCTTCACAGGTATTTTGGTCAGAAAGGAAGATTAAAGAAAATGTATCCGCCCCTCAATCCCTCTCTCTGCCCCTCTGTCCTGAGACAGGACAACTAGTGACAACCGACATGGAGAAGGCTGAGGTACACAGCAATTCTTTTGCCTCAATTTTCACTGGTAATCACTCTTACCACATCTCTCAAGTCCCTGAACTTCAAGGCAGGGACTGGGGGAATGAAGTCCCTCCCCACTGTAAGAGAAGATCAGGTCTGAGACCATCTGAGGAACCTGAACATACACAACTCCATGGGACCAAATGAGATGCATCCGAGGGTCCTGAGGGAACTGACTGATGCAGTTGCCAAGCCACTCTCCATCATATCTGAAAAGTCATGGCAGTCACGGAAAGTCCACAGTGACTGGAGGAAAAGAAATATCACACTCTTTTTTAAAAAGGGTAAAAAGGAGGACCCTGGATATTATTGACCAGTCAGCCTCACCTCAGTGCCCAGTAAGATCATAGAACAGAGATTCTATGGAAGACATGTCGAAGCACATGGAAGACAGGGAGGTGATTAAAGACAGCCAACATGGCTTCACCAAGGGCAAATCATGCCCGACCGATCTAGTGGCCCTCTATAATGGACTGAATGCATCAGTGCACAAGGGAAGAACTACGGATGTCATTTAGCTGGACTTCGGTAAGGCCTTTGATCTGGTCCCTCACAACATTGTTGCTGCTGAACTGGAGACATACGGGTTTGATGGATGAACTATCAGATGAATAAGGACTTGGTTGGATGGCTGCATCTAAAGAGTGGATGGTCTGCATCCAATGGCTCAATGTCCAAGTGGAAACCAGTAACGAGCGGTGTCCCTCAAGGGTCCATACTGGGACCAATACTATTTAATAACTGCATCAATGATATAGATAGTGGGACTGAATGCACCCTCAACAAGTTTGTGGATGACGAAGCTGAGTGGTGCAGCTGATACACCAGTGGGAAGGGATGTCATCCAGAGGGACCTTGACAGGCTTGAGGAGTGGGCCCATGTGAAGCTCCTGAAGTTCAACAAGGCCAAGTGCAAGGTCCTGCACAAGACAATCCCCAATATCAATAATGGCGGGGGAATAATGGATTGAGAGCAGCCCTGCAGAGAAGGACTTGGGAGTACTGGTGGACAAAAAATTGGATATGAGCCAGCAATGTGCACTTGCAGCCCAGAAAGCCAATCATACCCTGGGCCGCACAAAAAGAAGTGTGGCCAGCAGGTCAAGGGAGGGGATTCTTCCTCTCTGCTCTAATCTTGTGAGACCCCTGGAGTACGCGTGGAGTACTGCGTCCAGTTCAGGGGTCCCCAGTACAAGAAAGAGATGGACCTGTTAGAGCAGGTCCAGAGGAGAGCTACGAAAATGATCAGAGGGCTGGAACACCTCTCCTATGAAGAAAGGCTGAGAGAGCTGGGTTTGTTCAGCCTGGAGAAGAGAAGGCTGTAGGCAGACCTTATTGTGGCCTTTCAATACTTAAAGGGGGCTTATAAGAAAGACAGGGGAAGACTTTTTACCAGGGCCTGTAGTGATAGGACAAGGAGCAACAGTTTTAAATTGAAAGAGGGTAGATTTAAATTGGATACAAGGAAGAAATTTTTTATGATAAGGGTGGTGAGACACTGGAACAGATTGCCCAGAGAAGTTGTGGATGCCCCATCCCTGGAAGTGTTCAAAGTCAGCTTGGACAGGGCTTTGAGCACCCTGATCTAGTTGAGAATGTCCCTGCCTGATGTCCCCTGATGGCAGGGGGGTTGGACTAGACGATCTTTAAAGGTCTCTTCCAACTCAAACCATTCTATGATAAGAAGTGCTAGAACACTGCAGTTTGATTTTTTTTTTTAAGAGAAAAAACATAGAAGCTGAAGAACATAAAAGAAGAACCTCTGAAGAGGGAAAATTACCAGCTACAGATAGAAGGTCTAGTGAGATGTACTGACTGGAAAACGTGAGGAGCAAATGTGTAAGGCTACCAGCAGTGGTTATTTTACAAAGCCTCAAAGGCAAAGGTCAGATACCCTTAAAAAGAAAGCCAAAATCTCTCAGTGTACTGCTTCTACCAAAGTCTAGCCTAGAAGACTTATCTGCATACTATTCAAATGGAAGTAATCTTCTAGGTTCATTTGAAGAGAAACAAAACATTGTAAGAGTGCTGATGAACAAATCTGTGGATTTTCCAGCATAGCTAGACAAAACTCACATTCTGTCCAAGGTGTCAACACCACTTCAAGTCAAGTCAGACTGAAGAAACCCCAGGTAACTGGTATCCCCTTCGAAAAATTTTAACAGTGATGACTGAGCACTCCCTAAAGAAACTTAACTAGTCTACCTCATCCAATAAATAACAGCCAAAAAGAAACTGCATATTTTTCTGTATCTCTTACCACTACAGGTTGTTTAGGTCTGTTTTCGGTTACAATAACAGTTTCTTAGGTGAAAAGTTAGTAATAATATTTTTCTTAAAAAGAGCAAAAAAGCAAGAAGGTCTACATATTTTAGTTCAGTTAAACGATACCTGGAATCTTCAACTTTCTTCAATATACAAACAAACTACAAACTTTCATTTTCATCACGACTTTAATTTTTCACACTTCTGCTTCAACCATGTCGTAAGTCAAATGCACTGATTATATCTGCACTATTGGTCACCTCAAGACGGGTCTGTTCACCCCTACCAACACTGTAGGGTTTAGTTGCATATATCATTTCATATTCTCTTCTTTTGCAGGAAGAGTTATCATGTATTCATAGCACAAATTTGGATTCTGATGGAAGTAATATATGTTGATATCTAGGTCTTATTTCTGTTTTGCATATAAGTATTTGAAATGTATTTACAAGTATGTCGCTCCTTAATTTTCTAATTTTCTAATATAATTTTCTAATAGGTTTAACCCTACTCTTTTCCTGGGCTGTAGAATTTAGATTTCCATTAAGTAATTTGAAAATAACTACCTTATTTTTAACTGTAACTGCTAAACATTTTTATCTAATTTACACATACAAAACCTAACTAATGAATGGCCATGCTCAAGGAATAACAATTTTTCTGCAGAGGTAGCCTACATTGTTTATCCAATGAAGGTCATTTCCAAAGTAGGCGTTCTATCTTTTGGAAAGGATATGGAGAGTAGCTTAATATAGACAAAAATACAGTCAGTGCATTTTCTGATTGTACTTACAAGAATCTCATAGAATATTTAAGGCCAATTAATTCTTTGAATTTCATCTGCCATTATTGTAACAAAAATCTGCAGTTTTTCATACCATATAAGCTAAGGTAGCTGTATGTGTGTTTATAGATACATGTGTATATATTTTAAAATTTTAAATACAAAGTACGAATAGGGATCTAAGTACAGTCCAGAGGTAAAGGGTATACTGCCTATGGCACACAGCTCAACTGATGTGCACTGTGCTTAAAGTGAACAAAGGCAAGACAGCTTACCAAAAAATCAGAATCACATGAGCAGAAATGAAAAGGGCAGTGTGGTGAGAAAGTTGGCCTCAGGAAAAAGAGCAGTTCAAAACAAGAAATTGCCAGATCAATTAAGTTTTCAGGGTTACATTTTTAAAGATTATATTTCTGTGTTATGTTTATTTATGAAGGTTTGTAAACAATATCCTGAAATGAATAAAAATGGGACCAGGAACAGAATGAAAGAAAACATACACAGAGGTGCAAATATCTACACAGATGGCAATATATGAGTAGTTTAAGCAAAGAGGTTACAAATAAGGAAATATTTCTTTTTTTGGAAAGAGCTGTAAGTGAAAATAAAGAGCTCAACTTTGAAACAATAAAGGTGGCAATCCGTGTAGGAAGTACAGAACGGTGAGGCCACACTTCGAATACTGTGTTCAGTTTTGGGCCCCTCACTACAAGAAGGACACTGAGGTGCTGGAGCGTGTCCAGAGAAGGGCAACGAAGCTGGTGAAGGGTCTGGAGCACAAGTCTTATGAGGAGTGGCTGAGGGAACTGGGGTTGTTTAGTCTGGAGAAGAGGAGGCTGAGGGGAGACCTCATCATGCTCTACAACTACCTGAAGGAGGTTGTAGCGAGGTGGATGTTGGTCTCTTCTCCCAAGTAACCAGTGACAGGACAAGAGGAAATGGCCTCAAGTTGTGCCAGGGGAAATTTACATTGGATATTAGGAAAAATTTCTTCACCGAAAGGGTTGTCAAGCATTGGAACAGGCTGGCCAGGGAAGTGGTTGAGTCACCATCCCTGGAGGCATTTAAAAGATGTATAGATGTGGTGCTTAGGGACATAGTTCAGTGGTGGATTTGGCAGTGTCAGGTTAACAGTTGGACTCAATGATCTTAAGGGTCTTTTCCAACTTAAATGATTCTATGATTCTATGATAAATAAATACTCATGTCAGATCAAATGTTGCCACTGTAGACAATTTTGTATAGTCAGCAATATAGTAATCATTCATTTCCTTAACACACACATAATTCTAAAAATTAACTCAAAACCCAGTAGCTGCAGGGAAGACCTAAATGAACTGTCATTATTTCATATGCCCTTTAAAAAGTTTCATAAACAAGTAGACTTGCAAAATAAGCAGGTATGTAAATGCAAAGCAGTATCTTAGATTTTTAAATTTCTCATACTACAATTTTTTAAAATAAAAACATGTTTTAAGATATTGCAAAAACCCTTTAATGTGACCAAGAAAAAATAAACAGAATGGATGGTTAATTTTTTTTGAGTAATCTGAGGAAAGTAAATCACAAATAATGAAAAATGAATTGTGAGGAGCTCATTTACAGGAATTCACATTTTTACTTCTAAGAATACCCCAGCAAATGGTATTTGCTCCTCTGAAAAACAGTGATTTTTTAGATGATGGCAAATAAACAGTAAGCAGACTAGTTCTTGTGCACTGAGAGCTACATACAAGGTACTGAAAAATTGCCTTAGGGTCAAAAGTCTAATAATAATAATATCTAATACCTAGTAGTAGAGCTGCAGTCCAATCTCTCAGTGTTGCTATCACAAACACTTATCACTCTTAACTTTAATATACTTTTAAACTTAGGATAAAATGTCACACTACTTTTAAGGTAACTAACTCCTGCCACTAACTCCTTCCTGTGGTTGAGGAGAAGATGAGGAGGTATGGCACAGTTATTTTTTTAGAAGGTCATGCAGGGCCAGATAATAATCCAAACGTTAATTGTCCCTTTTTTTTCATGGTACAAGCAGCTTTGGCTCTTTTTTTTTTTTAATTCTGACACAATGACAGGGTTAAAGCGCATCATTACAGACTGATTCCATCTTTGGCATTTATTAATTTATTAAAAGTTTAAATGTTGTGTCAATTGCAATAGCAGTTTTGGTTACCTGGACACCTGTCTAGGAACTTAACTGAGACTATGAATTCATTTTGCACCGTTCATTTAGAATGTTATCAGCTGTTCCCCTTTTTCCCTGATTATGACTGACAGCACTAAGATGTTACCAGTTTCTGAAGATGTCAAGTAACAGAGCCACCTTACAGTAAATATACTTTTAGAACAGAAAACTAAAAAGGATTCTATGTTATTACTTTCCTGAACACACAAAACAATTATTACCTCTGCATGCTGATCCTTCTATTTTTTTTAAAGAAACATAATTCAATTTGTACTTCTATTCAAATAATACAAAAAAGCATACTTTTGAAATCTCCATCCCCAAATGTCAACGGATAGGCTCCTGGCTTTTCAATCTTGTACATTTCCTCTATAAAAAGGATTTTACAATCATTTATTGTGTCTTCTGGGCCTCTGAAAAATAAAAACAATAAAAAGTACATTCAACTTAGATCCTCAGACCTAGATTCTGTACTTAATGAATCCTAAGCAACGAGATAAAGCTAACTAGCACCTTTTTTTCATCACTGATAGGATACTTTATTTCAATTCACCCACAAAATTCAGTCTAGTACTGTAACTTCTAAGAAAACCAAAACACATACTTAAAACTCGCATAAAGAAAAGACTACTCCATCACCCTCAGACTTCCTGGCAGCTGCCTATGTCCTTACTGACAGCCATCCATAACTTTGTAATTCTACTGCTAAAACTTCGAAATGGTTTTTTGGCTGAACACAGCAGACCAGACAAAATCATATCCTCTCAAATACAGCATATCAAACATTATTATAAAAGTATAGTGTCAGAAACGAACCAGAAACATGACTTATAAGATACAATAATAGACGCTACTTGGAACCCACAGAGTAAGAAAAGCAATAGAAAGCTTCAAAAGCCCTTCTATGACTTCTAAATGTTTTGGAAACCTACAACCCAATCTTGCAAAGACACGTACAATTCTGAATTACGTACTGTGAGTAGTCCTGTTAATGTCAGGTTTCAGTGCAAAATTTGTTCACCATATCTCAGTGTTGAGTAACAAATACTCCATGACCCCACAACACTAATGCTGAGAGACTTCTAGAGAAGGATTAGGAAATATTAAATGTAGAGTAAAGGTTTTCACCTCCTCTTATTATAATCTCCTTGTATTTACTAAAATTCTTATTCAAATGTAAACATATCTAGGAAGAAAAGGCCATAAAAACACAAACAGTTTTAAAACACTCCCTTTTCTTCCCTCCTCAGGATGATATTTGTGCCTTCTTCAATTGCCTGTTTTCCTACCATTTTCAATTTACTACCTGATCTATAACTAAGGAGGAATTTTGAGTATAACCTGTATTGGAAGTATTAATTACTGAACATAGTCTCACTGATTTCATTGAATCACATGTGTCGTTACTGATTTCAGAATTGAGCAGTTTGACACGAGAGAAAGGAATTTACTAGCTGGAGAGCTTTATTTCTTGCAGAGTGAGACCCAGCCATTAAAAAAAAGAAAATCTGACAAGAGTTTTGGGTTTGTTGAACTTCTTTCCTCTTCAAAAGATAATCTAATTCTGTTGCACTGCTGCAGTCCCTGTTTAGTTCTAGAAAAACCCTTCAAAACCAGAAATTACACAAGCAACTAAATGAATACAGACCACAATTACCATAGCTTGAATTATTAAGATTATAAAGTTTAACATTTTACCAAGACTGTGATGTTTGTAGTTAAAATGTCCAGTGAGCATCCTGCAACACAAGAAATAAAACAGATTTTTTTCTTCTTTCCTGTGTAGACATCAGATTTGCTGGACATAATAAAGAAGTAGTCACACACTCAGTATTTGAAGGAGGTTGTGCAAGATTCTGCTAAGCAAAGCTGAAGTTCACTGCACTATTGCAGGTGTCTCTTCAAAAGCAGGGAAAATTGATAACTGTAAAGATAATGATTAAGTATTGCCACACTGGAGACTATTTTCCAGGTGAAGACCACCAGTAAGTTAAATATTTAGAGTGCAAAAAGGCCTGAGAATATGTCTGAATCACGCAAACAAGGCTTCTAAGTCCTATTTGTAGGATATCTGTAAGAAACAATCATAGAGGTGACCTGAAAATCCTTTTGAAGAAAGTCAGCCAGGTGGCATATTCCTATAAAAAGGTCTAGGCTGCAAAACTAAATCAAACTATAGACAGGTAGGGAAACAAGACATTAGATCCATATTAAATAAGGATAACCACAATAACAGAACACCTCCAGAAACACCAGGCTTCAGTCTGGGATCAGTTCAAGTCTGCTCCCTGCTCTGCCTTTGTCTGCTCCCACCACTTCCTTGTGGTGACTCCAGGTCTTGGACTCTGCCATATGCTGACTTAACTAAGGCAGAAAAAAACTAAGCCAGGGAAAAAACCACAGGCAACAAAACACTTTTTGGTGGCCCTGAGCACTTCAGTGTTTAGCCCTCCATGGAACTGGAGTTGAGAGAACTCTGATAGTGTCTTGATTCACTATAATTGTCTTTTAAGTACCAACAGCTGTTTACTTTGGCATCTGTATTTATTTTGACCCTTTTTCTTCCTTGCAGTTTCTGGAGGGAAAACATTCCCCATTGTTGGTCACATGCATAAACAGCAAATGTTAGCAAATTTCGAAGATTGGGGATATTTCAACAGAACATACAAATGCTACATCAATGCAAATACATTCATCAGACAGAACAGTTTGTTCTCCTGACCAGGAAAATCATGTATTTAAGATAATCTTCATTTGCACACTAGGGGGCATAACTTAAAAGCAGTTCTGGCCATTGTGGGTAACACCCCTCAGATTTATTTAGGTTTCCACACAGTGCAGTGAACACAGGAAGTCTGATTTTCTGCATCTCGGTCTGGATAAGACCACATGGTCCAACCACCCAAACTAGAATGCTTGGACGCCAGATTTTGTTACAACAAAGTATGTCTCTGACAACATAAGGTTATGGAGATACGTCCAGTCTGTGAATGGCTACAGCACTTAAATTCCTGCAGCTGTTACCAGATCTGCAGCTCTACTTAAGGCACAAATTCCACGTTTGGTTTAAAGTGAACCATTTAACTAGAAAATTGTCCCTGACACAGATAGAAGAGCACTCCCAAGAACGACTACCCCCTCTAAAAGGACTGTGGGTGCCAATACGCCCCTGCGGGGAAGGTGAGGGTAGAAGATTCTCTCTTCTGCAGTTGCATGCAAAGACACTTTGAATTTTCTACAACACATACCCATTAATTCAGTCATAAAAGCACTATACATTCAAATATAGAGAGTACAAATTGTAAACATAATCTCTGGCAGGAAAATGGAATGAACAAATACAGACTGAGCTTCTCAAAGCATCAAGGTTTCCCTGCTTATTTTCTGTACCTTGGAGAGTCTTTTCTTTAGTGCCCTATGCTTTTTGTTAGTCCTAGACTATTTAAAGTTAAAAATAAAACAAAACAAAACAAATCTCCTGACACTCTTTAATGCTATAAATCTAGCTATGTTAGGACCTTCCTTAGCTATACCACTGTTTACCTGCCTATCCAGCTTGATTCCTCTAGAACTTGTTTCTAACAGAACCCAAAAGTAGTGAATCTATTTTAAAACCAAAATATAGAATCATGCCTTCTTTCACCTGCGTAACATGAAATTTTATATTCATATAAAAAAATACATGTATTGGTTTGTATATCTCTATGCTTACAAAGCAAAAGATAAAAAATAAACAAGCACCCCTTAAACTTTAAGCAGATCTATATAAAAGTCAAAATAGTCATAGAAGTTGAATAATGTGTTGGATATTAGTAAGCATACAACTACAAGTGCATCTACAGAAAACCTGAGACATAATTTATTAAGTAATTTAAAATCTTGGCAAGAAAAAATAGTGACGGTCTCAATATAGCAGCTACAAACATGACTTTACCCATGTGATGAGATACTCTCAAATTCCAGTACAATTCAGACAAATTTCAGCATATTTGCAGAGCGTATTTTTCCCCAATTCTTGCATCTTGCAAATCTTCAATGTGTATGCAGTCTAAATACGCTATCCCTATTACGAGCAAAACTGCATCTAGGAAAAACTTGCAACATTTCCTCCCTCTCTCTCTACACTGCCTTATTGCTTAGAGCTGGTTTACTTTAATTTACCCCCTTTTTTACTGCATTTTCTCCAGAAATTTAGAAAGTAGTTGTTTAAAAAAAAAGCTTTGCATCACATGCAATTCTCTGCATAAAGTCTTTAGACAAGAAGGAAGGTTGCAAAACACCATAAAGCTGTACTCACAAATCTACAGACACTTGTGTTACTGCTATCCATATGTTTGGGAAACAAGCCAAACCTGAGCTCAGTAGAATATTTATTAGGAACAAATTCCATTGGTGCCAACTTAAACTATTAAAATTACTTTTAACTACACTGATTATCACATTGTTTTCTTGAAAGATACCATGAAAAGATTTACAAGTTGGTTCAATGGTGTTAGTGTTTCAAAAGGCACCACAGCAAAAAGTTTTTGTGAAGTATGCAGAAGCCTGGATTTTTATCAAGTTTATTACAAAAAATCACGTGTATATTATCTCAACCTCAAAGTGTTGAACCACAACATACTTTTTTTTATATAAATAGTTAAATAAACCAACTCTTCTAATTAATACTAGAAAACACAGAACTCTCAAAATAAAAAAAATAAATTCAGTTGCGTGGAGGTAACTATTGGTAAAAGCATGTTCTTCTCTCAGAGCACTGTAATCCTACTGACATCAGCAATACTATTCCCATAACTAGATGGAAGTGATAAAATAGACAGAATTCATCATTTCTGTATCACATATTAGGTCATGGTAGACATTCCTTCTCTTTTGGGCATCTCCTGTATTTTTCCTTCAGGATAAGGGCACTCAGAAACTTACTTTCAGGCTAAGTTTCTTCTAAAAGATGTCCAGTATTCGATACAGAGAAAATATTTTATTTTCTGCTATGAGTTACATAAGGAGCAAGCAAATACCATCAAATAACTTTACAAAGCTGCTATGTTCCAACAAATGCCACAGCTGCATATCTGGAACTAAGAGGAGGATCAACTACCATTGTGACAAATGATGTCTAATAATAAATGGTTAAGCCTTACCAAAGCTAAAAATCTCTGGTCAGCTAGTTGCTCTTAAAAGACTAATTCTTCTGCCACATTACACATACAATAGCTTTAATAATGATCAGGCTACACATAATTTGTCTTTAAAATTATGGTTATCTAATAAATTTGTGGTTATATTATTCTGTCAAATACACACAAGAAATATCACCTTTCTTCATTTCTCCACTTTACCATACCAAAAATGAGATTAAAAAAAAAATCTTGAGTTATACATTACGCACAGTAAATGGGACTTGTATTTCATG